TATTAGACTTTATTATGTCTAATATACAATGTGAGACTTGGATTGCCTTTTTATTTATTCTGACAATTTTCCCCTCAAACCAAAAACCACAAAACTTTGGCTCTGATACTATTTTGTTGTGACGGACCAGATACATTCCGGGTCAGATGCTATACTAGAGCCAGACCAGATATCCATGATGGAGGCCAGAAGTTTAACTAGAGCCAAGTGTCTGTCACCAGGTGTTTAACTTCTTGCTTAGTATGATATTGTCCGCTTTGAACTTAATTCCTCACGGATTTATTCTTTGGGTTCACTCCCAAAAGATCACACTAAGTGGAACTAAACTGTATATATATTAGACTTTATTCTGTCTAATATCTGATGTGAAATTTAGATTGCTTTATTTATTTATTTTGACAATCTTTACTCCGAGTTCCATGAAGAAACTATAACATCCCGGTTTGTGGTATATGGAGAAGGCTTAAGAGAATTGATTTGGCTACCTATGTCACCAAAGTGCACTTACCTTTTCGGGAGCACATCCAGAGAGAACTCCAGAGTTAAGCGTGCTTGAGCTGGAGTAGTCAAAGGATGGGTGACCTATCGGGAAGTGATTTGCGATACCGTGTAAGTGAGGCCAAAGCACGGGGAAAGGTCATGTGGTGATTACAGGGTCAGTAAACATGACTCTAGAATCTTGGAAAATTAACGGACCGGCCGTTGAAACGGGATGGGGCTCATGGGCCGAGAGAGCGGGTGTGGGTGGCCCATTAGCCGTGGGCGGTCGGGGCGTTATAGAAACATTGACTCAGCTCGAAGAGTTCTCTCCAAAAAAACTGATTTTTAGAAATCCTAACTCCTTTATTGATCTTCAATGTTAGATTACAAGCTAGAACAACGATTACAAGATGATAAACGAAATAGCTTTGAGCTGACCCCGGCTAGGCTCTCATGGCGAGCTTCACCTTCGTCACCGATCTCATGGCGATCGGGTCAAGATGACTCATGGTGTCAATCTTCATACAACATCAAAGCATGCCCTAAACTTCCTCTTTATACTCAACTTCTTCACGAACAGCTTCCAAGTTCGTAACGGCAAACCTTGTGAACTAAACCAAGGCTCTCCTAAGTCTTTCTCATTAAACATTACAGCGTCCTTCCTGCCACGTCAAACTCAAGCTACTAGAAGTCTATCAATACATTCCCCACGAAATGAAGCTTGCCCATAAGCTTGTATGAAAAGAAACCACCCATTCATAAACTGACGTGCAGCCTCCACTATATGAAATGCAAGTGTATGCCTTGAGCAATCCAGCTTCCATTCCAATTCGTTTCTCCCTCTCTAGTTTGTCAACCTTCTCAGAAGAACAAGTGTTATCACTCTTACTTCTCCAACGATGCCAAACAAAAGAAGAGCTCCTCCAATGGCAAAGCACAACATGTAATGGCAGACCTTGCACTTGCTTTAGTCTAGCTTTGTATTTGAACATTCATGTTTTGGGACACGTCTTCCACTTATGCCTTTGTTGTAAGAGAACTTGTTGTGACTTCCTCTTGATGTGTATCCACAACTTGCATCTTTCATTATTCAACAGATGCTTCACAACTTGTAATAAATGTGTAATCCGTGCTTCCTTCTCCCACAGATGTCTAACGTCTTTCTCTAAAATATCAGACTTGCTTGCTAATGAAAACCACCAAATCAGCATATCTATTGACAACAAGCCAACAAGTATTCTCTTGTACACACCCTCCTTGAAATCAAGCTTGACCACGAGCTTGGATATAGTATAATAGTGAAATCACTTCCATGAGAAGAGACAAGTTGCTGCAACAGCAACCACCGCCTTGTAACTTCGCTCAGTACCAGAGCAAGATCGGTTTGTTCAGAAACAGCACCATTGTGGAAAACTGCTGCAGAGCCCAAGGTTTTGTATCTCCATCTATGCCAAACAGAAGAAAACTCTTTCTTCTTGAATCTTCTCAGACATCTTTGTAATCTCCATATCACCAATGGTGGACATGACAAGCTGCTGCCAACTGTAACAGTTCCACTTCTCTGTATAATCTTCGTCTGAGGTGCTGTAAACATTTCCAGAACAAACCGCAGTGTAGAGCTGACATGTTTCACATCTTGCACAAGCAGATTCTTGATCACTTGAAGCGTCAAAATTTCAGACTTAGACTTCCATTTATGCCATAAATGAAACTTACTATCACCCCTAAAAAGTTTTTTCGTGCCCTCAGCTTGTCTCATTGTCCTTAAAAACCACTGCATCATTGCCTCACTCTCTTCTGAAAATCTCCATTTGTGCGTTACACTATCAGCTGATGTCACGCTACCTGCATCCATAATCTCGTATAACATCATATTTCTCTCTTCCGATAGAACCAAATTGGTAAAAGAGGGTTTCTGCAGCTCAGAAGACATTTCATCAGCACAATACTCAAACTCATTTTCTGTGAAACTATCAGCAACAACAACTGAATATCCGTTGAAAACTTTTTTGTTCCCAATGAGATCGTGTAGCTGCTCCATCACTGTTATAAATTCTGTAACAGTTTCCCCTTCTTGATACACCAATATTCTCTGGTTTATGTGATCATCCCTCGCCATAGTAACAGAGCCAATATTCCCAAAACTCAGAGACACACTGGTGGACAACAATAGCTTCTCAAACTCATTGATGATCCCATGTTTGATAACTTCTAACAGCAATCTTCTATGCATGAGTTTCATAGAATTCCTAGTTTTGAACTTAAACTTCCAAGCTTTAGGATACTTGCATTTCTTCCTTTTACCCTTCATTCTTCTAGACACGTCATTGAGAGAAAATTTTTGGTGTTTCTTGTCCTCTTTGGGAGTCCCAGTCACATACCAGAGCATAGATTTCTTAATCGAGTTTTGCTCTGAGGCAGAAGAATGTGGCTGTATCACAAAAGAGAGATCATCACTATAATGCTCACAACCTTCATCCACCAATACATGCTTAAAAATCTCACTCCAATTCTGAGACACCTCTTCAAAATTGTCAAAAGATTTCTCCTTGATGACTTTTGTAGTTAGTTGCAACTCCTTCACCACTTCTGCTTCTGTCTCATGAATAGATTCCATGTCAGAAGTTGAGCCATCTTTCAACTCCACCTCTATGGAAAAACGTCCTGCCTCTTGATTATCAGCAAGACAATCACCAGAGCTCAAAAAGACTACTTCCATGGTTGGTGATGTTGTGTTCCTTGCTAAATATGGCTCATGAACAACTGCATTGCTAGCCATTAATTCAGCTCCTAAACTAGTCTCAACCAAAGAACAACTCGTAACAGAAGCAAAATGCTCTAACAATCTGCATTTGAAGTCACTCCAATCCTTAAACTTTATTCTATTCATCACCCAACGAAACCACTTATATGCAGCACCTTTTAAGCACAGAAAAACGAGGTCAAGTTTAGCATCATCTTCGTAATGAACAAAGAACCAATCAGCTTTCACAATCCAACTCTCGGGATTTTCTCCATCAAACACAGGTAAGTCCTCATGTTTATCAACATTCATCAACAGACCACCGCTATTCTCTGTTCTCCAATAACCTATCTGACTATCCTTCTCAATAGCTCCAGAGGTGTTCTTAGGTACCTGAATACAAGACTCGGATGATGATATAACTTCCTCGCCCGATTCCTCTCCGTACAATAATTCCACCGACGGATAAGGGGTCGTCTCTTTGGAAATAATAGCTTCTGTGTTCTGGAAACATTCTAACATTTGCTCTCTGTATCGTCTATCTTCGTTTTCCAACTTAATCCTCTCTGGATCATCATCATCCCCAAACCGCATCAAGAAAGAATCACGCAATTTGTTCCAGGAATCTAAGATCTTCAACTTTTTTCGCCAATGATAGTAAGCTTCGGCTTCTCCGTAAATGAAACCATACGCGAACTGTAATCTCTCCTCGTCATTGTACTCATATAAACGAAAACGATTCTCCATCCAATCAAGCCAAGATTGCAAATCGCTACCTGTGAAAATTGGTATCTCGATGTACTCCATCGCCATTGTTGTCACTCTCGAGCTTCAATTCACGATCGCTTTAATCCAGATCCAAATTCACCACCGCTTCGTTGCTCCGTCAACACCGTCACACCACCGCGTTAGATTCGATCTCAGTTTCACCGCACCAATGATAGAGTTTAGAAATCCTAACTCCTTTATCGATCTTCAATGTCAGATTACAAGCTAGAATAGAGATTACAAGATGATAAACGAAATAGCTTTGAGCTGACTCCGGCTAGGCTCTCATGGTGAGCTTCACCTTCGCCACCGATCTCATGGCGATCGGGTCAAGATGACTCATGACGTCAATCTTCATACAACATCAAAGCATGCCCTCATCTTCCTCTGAAACTTCCTCTTTATACTCAACTTCTTTACGAACAGCTTCAAAGTTCGTAACGACAAACCTTCTGAATTAAACCAAGGCTCTCCTAAGTCTTTCTCATTAAACACGGCAGCGTCCTCCCTGCCACGTCAGACTCAAGCTACTAGAAGTCTATCAAAAACATATGGCATGAGAGTAAATTCCCTGTCCATGGGAACTAAGAGAGTTAGGATGATATAAGAAGACACGGTCATCCAGCTTGCATAAGAAAAAAACAGAGAACCTAAACTGGCCATACAACGGTCAGAAACGACCATCTTTGGAACATGTCAGTTAGAAACATAAAAGAGTATTTATGGGTGTAACTGTTTCTTATTTGATTTAGAAGAGATTGATACTACGATGGAAATGTGTGATACCTGAATACCTGATTAAAGGGAAAGTTTAAGATGATAGTTTTGATGGGAATGTGTGAAGTGTTTGGTGAATAAAAATTAGTGAACTTGAGTTATAAACTCAGTGAAGAAATAAGAGATTGCTAGTGCCCAGATTGATGCAATTGCTGGAACATAAAAAATATGTGTGACAAAAGAATCGTTGATGGAATTGCTGGAACATAAAAAATATGTGTGACAAAAGAATCGTTGACGGAATTGCTGGAACATAAAACAACGTGTGTGACAAGAATTGCTGTAGGAAGTAGAGAAAAAAACAAAAATTGTTGCAGATAGTCTATAGGTTGATGTCGTTCTCTTTCTATATACCTGAACCTCTGTTGAATTATGTTCAAGGCGTGGTTTAAATAATACGTATACAAGATAAAGCATATGAATATCCATATATATCGAGAAGCTGCCTGCATGGGAGATCCCAAAGAAAAGAAGACAGAGCCAAACTAAGCAAGTCTTAACTCTTTCGGTTGAAAGATGAGCTCTTTCAACACAACATGCGTAAAAAAGCTCCCTCCATAACAATTGTCGTTGTGTGGCTACTTTTGAAGCAATATATGTTTCATTGTTTGTTTTATTTGTGAAATAGAACAACAACAAAACAACCCAGGAGTTCAAATAGTCTCAAAACATATAGTAAAACATAGGGCAAGATACATCATTATCAAGACAGAGAGGTGCTAAGGAGTGTAATGGATTTTAGAAATGAGGTGGAACTGGATCTGAAGGGTGAGTCTATCTCCCACGAGGTAACCTTTGGAAGGGCTGTGGAGATCCACAAGAGACATGAACTGTTGGAACCCCAAAGACGGCACCTCTCGAGAGTACCACTTTCCAACTGCGTGCAACAAAAAAGTCAGAACCATCATCATCATAAAGTAAATCACCAAACAAGGAATACAAAAAAGATGGTAATGTGGTCTTTACGTTGCCTCTGGATGTTTTCGGAAGGATCAGTGTTGAGGACACTGATGCTGGCTCTGGCGTACACCTTCTCATTCACTCGGAGGCTCTGCGTTGTGGTCTCTGATAACTCCAAGTAGATAGACAAGTAGTTGCGCCATCCATCTCCGTCCCCTCTCGGTGCAACTCTCACCTTCCTATCAAAAATAAAAAGATCTATAAATGTAAACCTCATGTCATCAAAAACTTAAAATAAATTAGAAATATATATACCAGTTACTATCAGCGACAGCGAATTCATCAGAGTAGACGAACTTGGACTCGTCCAACTGTGAGAAGTGCAATATCGTCCACGTGAAGTTACCCTTGTCGTAAAAGGAGAGTTGTTCGGAGTTGGGGTTTTTGTTCAGGACAAGGACCTCAACTCCAAACTGGCACTTGTCTCCGTCAAGGTACCCATTCTTCTCGTTCGAAAATGTCGACAGCTGTATCAACTTCCCTATTCCCCACTCTGTTTTGGCTGCGTTGAATCTCTGCACCTCCTTCTCCTCCACCACCAAGTACTTCTTCTTGGGCTTGTTCTGAACAAAGAAGCTGATTCTAGTGAGGATCTCCCATCCTTGGGGCAATGACTTTGTGTTGTATGGTTTCAAATATAGAGATATATGATCTGCTCCTCCGTCTTTAGTGTTGCCACTCGGGTACAGTGTCAGTGTCCTGTTTCAACCATTTTCATTATTACTAATAATTCTCCATAGAAATATTTATATAGTAAGATGCTTTACCAATTGTAACCACTGGACTGAAACACATCGGACTCGTATGTCTCAGCGCCAGTGCTGACCAATTTGGAATAGGAGTCGAGGTTCAGGGCATATGTGGAAGGAGCGTCGTTTCTCAAACCCCTGTAGATGGAATCGCTGCTGCTGCTACTTCCATTGAGCAAGGGCTTGAGCTGAACAAAGGCAACACATGACAAGAGGCAGATCAAGAGAGTTGTTGAGTACTTGTTCTTCCTCTTCCTGATATCATCTCCTTCCAACAGCATCATCTTCATCATCTACTTTTCTTCTTCTGCTCAAATATTCTTCTCTTTCTCTTTTGGAAAGGGATGGAATGGAACTCAGATTCTTACAAGGACAGCTAAGAGGGAATTTATAAATTAAAAAAGAGAGAGTCGAGTAGTTATACATGAGGTTTCCTTTTATTTAACATAATTAAACACGTGATTTAACTGATAACAACATAATAAAGAAATATGTAACTACTACCATCCCTTATCCTTAAGGAATAATTCCCAAAAGTGAAAGTAGAACTCAATATTCTGTCATCAGAAAACATGTTTACATTTCCAAAACAAAATAATGTTTTCAATAATCTTTGACATAAATTAAAAAAAAAAAAAGCATAATCTATTGTTACAACATAATGCCAAATGGTGGTGGTTCATAACTAGAAATTGAAAAGCTAATGAGAGTTTTCCGTGACCCAGCCGGAGACCATACCCTCGTCAACGGGCTTGAGACCACCACATGACCTGGCCACCGATTCAAAGAGTTTCTCAATCTCAGGCGCACACCTGATGAAGGCCTGTTTCCAGAAGCCATATCTTGGATTCTTTATGAGCTCTATGAATGTTATCAGGAGTCCCCATGGGTGTGGCCTGTTCACAATTAGCCTTTCCAGCAACACTCTTGTTATCTGCTCCTGTATCACCTCCTGTTTCCATTCAACAAGATTTTAGATTCCCCCTAATATATATATATATATATATCTTACAACAAAAGACAAAAAAGGCGATCACCCCTCACCTGGTCAGACTCGAAGAAGAGATAGAGCATGATGAAGGAGAAGTAATGAGTGTGGTTGTTTGGATACCGAAGCTGATTGGCGATTGCATTAAGAAACAGATACCGCCCTTCCGTGTCAAGTTCCGTACTTAAATACTTGAACATGTGCAAGGCCACCACATTTTGAGCCTGTGTCTCACCCGCCTGTTGTAGCTGCTGAATAGCCTGTTATTTTATACAAAATTTATTCCTTTAGCTTTCCGTTTTGTAAAACTAAGGTTTTAAAATAGCCACCAGTATTCGTCATCAAAACCATACCTGCATCCCAGTATATAGAACAAGCGAGTTTATTAATGGTACACTGTAACGAGTTCCAGCTGAACTAGCCTCGCTGGACGACACAAGTAGTTTCTGCTTCAACTCACTTAGGAAAGTTGGATTCTGTTGCCTCAACTGCAGCAAAATAATATATTGAGTATATATATATTTCCTGATATAATCTGAAATGAAGAATCAGATGATCTATTACAGTGAGATACTCGTCCACGTCATTCTTCATTTGCTTTGCTTTTAGCGCAGCATCAACTTCAGAAAGGATACATGGAGCTTCTACTATCTCAGGCAGCAAATCAATCTGCAGTGAACAAGATGAATCAGCTTACAAAGATTGTTATCTTTTCTTTAGAATATCAACATATGCTGCACTATCATCTCAAACCTTTAGATTTGGGGTAGAAGGATCTGGAAGCCTCATGTTCCGTGGGAAAGAACTTAGTATAATATTTCGCATTTGTATGCAACTCGAAGGAATCACATCACAGAAAGTAAAATGATAATCGCAGAGGAACTCCGGGAAGTCATGAAGCAGCACCAGCAACACTCTCAGCGTCCCCTTATATAGGAAATTAACCTGCATAATTAATGACCACTTCAAGTTACCATCAATTATATCCTCAGTGTTTTTAGTGCATATATTACAAAGACAGAAGAAAGTTACAAACCGGTCCTCCGAGTTCCGCATTTCTCAAAAATGGCTCAAGAAACTGGAGCAAATCTACCAGCAGGCGTTGAACATATGGCCAACCCTTCTGGCCATTCACTGTAAGTAGCTTGGGCATGAAGCTTCTGTGACTGACCAGCTCTAACCATGCAAAGCTGGATTTTTTATAAGAACCTTAGTAACAGCAGAGAAAAATATATAACACAATTTTGATCAATCAAAGAAAAGAAGATACATATGTCAACCACACGAATCTCATTCGACGACACAAGAATTTCCACTTTTAATAAATGCATTACGAGAAACAGCTTTCTGTCCTAACCTGAAGGCAGGAATCTTAAGAGGCTGCAACGCGTGGAACGCATTAGCAAAAGCTGTTAGAACCTGATACAAACGACGGATGTTAGTGATAGCAATAAATAGCAACTACGTTTTAAGGAAAACAAAACGCACCTGAAAGTTTGCACCATCAGTCCCAGGATCCAGAGAACATAAGTCCAGCAGCCAGTTGATGAACAATCTAAAATATGGTCTTGGATTGAGTGATGTCTTTTTATCTTCTGCGTCCTTTTGAATAGATCTCACAGTGACAGCCATGATCTGCAACCAGTAATTGATATCAAATCCACCAATAATTACTAAAAGTTGAAAATATTTTCGTTTAAAGTTAAAAGGTGTCCCCCTAACCTCCGAAAGAAGAAAAAACTTGCTGCTTGACTCTTGTTCAGGGAAATACTGAATAGATTTGTCATAAAAGAACAAAAACAGAAAAGCTTAGCTGGCAATGTATAGGGGCTTAATCATCCGCGCACCATAAAAATTCATGAGCACTTACCTTCAAGATCGAAAAAATAAGCTTTGCATAAATATCGATGATAAGGAATGATAGACTCTGAGCTTGTTGAGGAGATTGCACAGCCCCAGAGCTAATTTCTTCAGAAGATATACAATGAGCAACCGAAAGTTCCTAAACAGAACAACCAAATAAATAATAAGGTCTCTAAAGAATTTTACAAGAGTGGATGCTAAGAACGCTTAAAAGGTTAAAATCACCAGAAGAATTCGGAAAAAGCTCTCTGTTGTATCGTCTCCCTTAAGTAGTCCAGTCTGATGCAAATGCAGGACATATTGTGCACAAGCGGTTTCATTTGCACCCGAAACTTCGCAGAGTTGATACCAGTTTTCAAAAAGCGTCGAGACCTGCCGAACCATCCCAAAAAAGAAGATGAATACAAGAGATGTGTGTATCAACATAGAACTGACGGGGTAAATAAACACATGTTATATATTTAATGGAGAAAATAGATAATGCATGTCATTATAGTGGGAATTAAATTCATATACACATCACAACCATTATGAAGCACAGAAACGTAAATCATTATTTTCTAGTTTGCAACTTGATTGTGTTGGTGCAAACATTCCAGCTTTTTTTTTTTTTGGTCAAAAACATTCCAGCTTTTAATTTACTCTTTTGCAAGTGAAAAATTATAGGTTTATGCAATTCCCAATTTTTTTTTAAAAAAGGTTAAATTCTTCAAGCTAGTAAAATGTAGAAAAATTACCCGCTTCCGGAAATCAGTAGAATCTGATTCCGCATATTCCAAGCTGGTATTATCTTCTGTGTTAGCGATAATATTGCATACAACCTGATAACAGAGTTAACAAGGTAAATGAATTTTCAGAGTGATTACATGCAACATTCGGTAATGAAATCATTTCAAAACCTTTTCATCCTTTGATTGCCTATCATTGATCTCGTTTTCAGTTGCACTATCACTTAGACCACTTGTGTTAGTAACTGGATTTCGTATGATGTCAATGAGTTGTTGCAATGACTCAGGAGCTCCAGATTTTGCGGAAAGCTACAACCAAACAAGGAAAACAAATGCGTAGGGTCATCATGAGATAACCCCATTTTCTTAAACATGCAAAAAATATAGAATCCAGACAAAATTTAACCTAACCACGATCTGTCAGTTAAGCAAAACAATATTTTAACATAACCCCTAGTTGTGTTTTGACCCACCTATCAATTGTCATTATTTAGCACGGGTCTTAATATTTTAACATAACCCCTAGTTGTGTTTTGACCCACCTATCAATTGTCATTATTTAGCACGGGTCTTATTAATCGTAGAACTGAAAAAAGAATATGCAAAACTGCAATGTCAAACCGGAGAAAGTTAAAATTGTAACCTTGGCCAGTGCATCAACAAGACTGTGTAGCTCTGAAATGACACTCGACTCCTCAGTGACCAAGTATTGGAGTAGAGAGATAGAAAATTCAGTGGCGCTCTCTGCACAGCAAACAAATAATTAGCAACTTTCATTTACAATTATTTTTAAAAATACAACTACACAAAGACATAAACAAGTATTTTGTTGTTCAGCATACTATTTCTCCCTCCATCAAGATGTTTCGCCATGTGGACATTGTACTCCGCTAGGTTAAGCAACTCCCGTTGGATAAGACCAATAGTAATATCTTTGTTTAGCTTCCGTTCCTCCTCTGAATAAATCACCTGTGTACAGAAGTTTCAAGAAAGTTGCATAAGCATAACTGGGAATCCCAGAAAAAATTTCTCGTATTCATAACCATTTAAGGATAGTACACGTCATAATATTTATCAGTAGCCCCACTATGGGAGATAGGCTCAATCTACAACTTATATGATGTGTTATGTCAGGAATTACAGGCATATATTTGGAGAAATATCAGAAGCAACTGAAATTAAAGGACATAAAAGTATGAATTAAAGCAAATGAATACTTAGATATTGAAAAAGTCATTAACATACCCAGCTAGTGAGCTCTTTAACAACACGCTTGCAGACATCACGAATAGCCACAAGAATTGCTAGGTTAGCACTGATGTGAAGGTTACTTGATGCATTCTCATAAAGAGCCTTAAAAGCTTTTTGAGCAACAGCTAAAGCAGCTTCATCTCTGCTTATACATCTGAGGATGATCTCAGGAACTTCAGAAACAACGGCCTGGAAAATCAAATGAGATGATTATTTAATTTGACATCGGATGAAACCAAAGTGGTCGAAAACCTGAATAACCATTTGCTTAAAATACGAAACTTATAAAACATTAACTCATGATTCCATTACTTTTTAGGTGAGCATTACGTTTAAAACAACCACTTAGGCACTAGGAAATCAAGTACCTGAATTTCATCATCTCCTGCATTATTAGCCACTAAGTTCTCCATCTGAAATAGGTTCAAGAAAGTCAACCACATGCGGCGATGTAGAGACCCCAAGATTGGTGTAGCAAGGGAACTTTTGAAAAAAAAAAATTCTACTGTACCAACCTTCTGAGAAACAATATGATAC